TCTCTCTCTCTGTCTGTCTGTCATTGTGTCAAATAAGGACAAGCATTGATCTGGGCAAAATCAAGAGAAGGGCATGTGGATTAATCATGATTTGGTTTACAGAAGATCTTTATCTCAATCAGACCACAAAATTTCCAAATTTCAGAGAAAAGATTGTTTTATGAGAAGTGAGATGGCAATAGCAGAAAATTGGTGGAAAATCCAACAGCCACACTGTATGTGCTCATGTTTGGGTTCACGCTGGGTGTCTGTACATGTATAATCAATATTCACTATTCCATCTTTCCTTATTTTCTCCTCAGGTGTAGCTGGTTCCCTCCGTCTCCAAGTGTCACATCTGCTATGTCAGGGTTTTTTCAGTCTGTGTGTGAGCATGCATGTGCCTCAATGTGTAATTTTTAAGTATGCATGTATGATCCCAGGGGTTATTTATTTATTTATTTATTTATTGTGAAAAACAAGGATGACAGCGTGCTCTTGTGTGCCGCTGCGTCCCCACAGGGATGTTCCATTCTATGTCCGAACAATTCCCGGGCCGGCTGCATGCTGGGTAAAGAGCCCAGAGGAACTGGTTCCGTGTCCTTAAATGCATCACGATTAATGCGATCTGACGCAGATTGCTTTACACACACAGGCTAATGTCCAAGGATCCACTTCGGTTTCATCATCATGTACATTAAACGACAGCACATTTATTACAAAGGAGTGATTCAGCAGCCATTATAATAACAATGCATTTATCACACAGAATTACCAAAAACACATTTCATATTATTCACACTATTTCATAGGCAGGCTTATTATTTTGACTCAAAGTTGATGTTAAACTCTGCATGCATGGTTCCCCTTTTCCCCCATGGAAAGGTCATAAAACCGTGTCTTACATTTTTGGTGTGTTATGACATTTCTCGTGCATTTGCTCATTCAGTGGATTATATATCTGCTGCCATACGCATTCTGTAGATATTTAAGACAGTTGCATGCAAAGACAATTCCACACTGAGAGAAACAATGTCATATCTATGATGACTGCCACCATGTTTGATAACTAGATGATTTGTGACAGTTTCTGGGAAGGACACATCCTGTTATTGTCCTAATCCAGCATTTTAGAGTCGGTGAAGCACAAGACACACAGACACATACAAGAGGCTTTAGAGGAAGCTGACTGCCTCTTCTGATCTTTTCCAGATACATCATTTTCTTACAGTGGGGCAGAACTGTCTTTTTCAGCGCACTTCCTTGCCCAGCTGTCTCGGCCACTCTGAGCTGATCTTTGCCATCTACACACACGTCTGCACCGCTGCTGGATTATCCTGGAATGCCCCATATTACCCTGTATTCCTCTCACTGACTGCCCAGTTAAATTCAGTCCTTACTGTCCACCCAACTAAAAACAAACAGCAGCTGTCCAGGAGAAACTGCAGGAAGACATTTGTTTTTATAAAGTGGATATGGAGAGAGCAGGTTTGTTTTGCTGGAAGTGGTTCTCTTCCTCTCTCGCCTTGGTCCTGGGCCGTGGGCCCTTTCAGGGCCTGGCTGGTAGAGTGGAGAAAGGAGGTGGACTGGCTGTCAACTGGATCCACTGGCAATAGGAGCCTCCGGCCCAGCCTGAACCCAAGCAGTTCACAGACACCAGGGCAGTCTGCCTTCGCCCTGCTGACGTCAGTCACCGACAGACCACAAGACTTGTGTTAGAGTTTCAAACAAACCCGCTGCCCATTGCCATGGTAGTATGGACCACCACCATGGAAAACGCACTCCGTGTCTGTGCCCGTGTTTACCATAAACAGTCGCCTCATTTTTGCTGAATCTAAAGGAAGAGGATGATGGTTCAGGTTTCTTGTCATCCAGACATCCACAAACTCCAAAGTAAACACAATTAAACCCGTTTCATTAATTATGCATCACACATACAGTAAATTTAAAGTTAATGCATTTTGCATTGTGTCAGTAACAAAGTGATCACTCAGCACTGGTCCATTCCCAATTTTCTGTCCTACCAGGTCATTTTCACAGCTAAATAATGAGTCCTTTTAAAACCTTGGTTAATCATATTAATTTTACCTGGCAGAGTTTTAAAAGACAAGCATTACTCTGTATCTCAGCAGGTGAGCTGAGAACTAGTGACAGTACAAGTGTTCTTCAATAATATCCATTGAGGTTTATCAACCCTAAACCAACCCGCAAAATCTATCTCTACAAAGACTAAAATTACAACACGTTGTCAGGAGAGCAACTGAGCTTTTACATCATACGAGATTACATCTGTAAACGTATTTAGTGAAGTTTCCCCTCGTCTGTTTTGTTGAAACTGAAATCTGTAAAAGTCATCTCATGGCTTTATGTGTGCCCTCCTGTTGATCACGTATTCTAGATGCTTATCTGCTTGGGTCAAGGTGCTCATGGCCATGGGAGAGTGAATGCCCTGAGGGCGCAGCACATAGCATCACTATCTCTACCCTTCCTGTTTACATTGCTGGCTCAGCGTCCAGCAGTTACTGAACTCAAATCTGAGGGAAGACGTGTCACTGGTGTCACTGCAGGGAAGTGACTTCAGATTGAATCGAGTTGTTTTCTTTTATTTCCACCTGGTTTTCCCCTCAGAGTGGCAAAACTGGAACCGTGACGTAAACAAAACCACATCAGTCACTGTATTGTAATTGCAGGATCATGTTTGTGAATGTGACTCTAAAGATCAACTTAATTGTGTTGCATAAAACACAGGATACGCCTAGCTGCCTTTTAGTCACATGTAGGTAAAAAAATTCTAACATTTCATCACTCCTTCCCCGGGCTGATGAAACAGCCCAGAGACCAGGATTAAAATAATTGATATATTCATGACTATATAATTCACCAATTCTTAGAATTTGTTTAATGAGACAATCCAATAACACACAGAGCAGAAAATTCTGTAATACATGCCCATTTTAATAATCTGATAGAAAACATTTGTTGAGCACAACATACACCATTTTACCATATAAGGGAGGTGAGGAAAACACTGAAAAAATATATTTGAACAATGTTATATATTTCAGCAAATATTCCTATAGCTGTACAATGACCCGTCACCGTACACAATATACTGCAGCAAATATCCAGCCTTCATAATCCGCCAGGAACAAAAGACAAAAACTAAAGCCAGACTTCTTCTGCACCTAACATAAGGTGTTGTTGGTTCAGACTGTACAAACATCTTCTGGCTAGAATTTTAAAACCAAACATACATTTCAAATTGTCAAAATTGATTCATGTATAACTTCATGTTATGGTCTTATAAACCAAACAGCAAACAGCTTGTGAAATACAATAAATCAGAACCACCATACAAGTTCAGTCAAACTGTGATTTGACATGTGGTAGTGCATATAAATAATAACAAATATACAGGGAATATTAACAATCAATATCAATATAATCATATACAAGAATAATAAATACACTGTTACAAACAGCTGAGGGGTCAGCACATCACAGCTGGGTGCAACAAGATTGTGCAACTCTGTGACCACTTCACACGCACTCACACACACACACACGCACACGCACACACACACACACACACACAGGAAATATCATGTCATGACACGATATTGACCCAGCCCCCCTACTTCTATTCTGAGGGTTGCACCTTACAATGTGGTACCTTTAAGGTAGTGTTGGACAGATCAGCAACCAGCTGCCAAACTGTTGACATATTCAAAGTGCTGAAATAAAAACTACAAGATACAATTAATCTATCACTAACAGGTGTCTTTAAAATGTGCACACAGTCTTACAGTCATTCAAAGTTTAAAATGGGTCACGGTGTAAAGCGTATTCACGAGGATGGAATGCTGTTAATTACAACAGGTGTGAGCTGATGACAATGGGAATTACAAGGTGGTAAGAGATTTCCCATACTGGAACAGCTCAGCACAATACAAGGTGCGGGGATTGTTAAACTGTTATCTTGGATATTTTTGGTGATTTCCCTTTCATTTGCCTGAACTCTTTATCCAGCAACAGGAAGACACAAGGGATCAATTTGGCTTCTGGTTGGAAGTTTGACTTGTTACACTAGTGACTCTTCAAGTGTGAGATCACACTTTTCAGAGGTGGCAGTGAAATCATCAAAGAGCTTTCTTTTCAGGATCTTTGGAGTTTTTTTTTTTTTTTTTAAGATGTTTTTGGACTCAAAAATACAAAACTTTGCTCCACTTTCAAGGAATATGGTCTATGACTTATTTAATTGCTTATGAAATGGATTATTGGGGAAAAAAACTTAAATTATTCTTTTGGTTTCACATGTTTACTATAATGTTTTCTGTAAAATACTGATACTTTCCATTCTCTTCGTCCTTTGCCACAAAGTGCAAATTGTGCTGGGAAGTCAGCTGATTTTAGAAATACATCCACTGGACGCTTTTGTGAGAACAAGCTTATACTATTGCCAGAACATTAGGAAGACTGTGTGAGACAAATATGTCCTTTTGTCGAAAATTTTACACATTTTACAGCTACATGAATGTGTTCAATAAATTATAAAAACACGTACAAAAAGACACTGTTGTTTAAAAAAAAAAGGCACACAACTTTGTGTTAGAAAAAACTACTTGTTTACAAATAACTTGCTGACCAGTAGTTTTGGTTGGACACTTAACCAGGTGGCATCCGATCCCGACACAATACAAAGAATCGTAACAAACATAAAAAACATCCTGAAGTGCAAAGTTTGGAATTTATAGGAGTCCCAGTACACGGATACATATCGCCCACTTCACTTCCTTTGTGAGAACCAAGATTCAGCCCTGCCTCTGCAGCACGACAGTAGTCCATTCTTTCAAGATCAGTCGCTACGCTCTTCCAGCTCCCATCTAGGGGGCTCAAAAAGAAACTGCCACAGGGTTTCCAAGCCTCGTTTGCAGGGGTGCCCCACATTCAGTCAGGCCCTCTTTGCCAGGCAGCTCCAAAGAGCCAGATTGCAGGATTGCTCCACTGCAATTCAATGAATTCAACCAAAACAGCAAAAAAACCTGCTGCACTCAAGAACACCATCAGTTCAGCTATGTTTCCGCTGGGGAGACGTCACGTGTCTCTGTTTCTACCCCGTCTGGATCAGAGGGATGGTCTTGGAGTGTCACGCCGTCAGCTGTCTCCATCATCCCGCTCTCACTGTCTCCATCTTGGTCATCCAGCGTCAGTTCAAACTGAAATTTACTCGCCGCAGGTCCCCCCTCCACCTCCCCATGTGGGCCGCCCTCCCCATCGCTAGTGTAGAAGGGAGGGGAGGGACTCTGGGGGATCATGCTCTGGTACCAATTCCTGTTGTCCTCCAGTGTGTCCAGGATGTCCTGGGCATCAGGGTGGACCAGGTCAGCCCACGTCTCCCATAGAGGGTGGACTATGTAGTCAATAAAGCCAACCTAGAAAAGATAACCAGCGGTGATGTCAGTAAAAATAAAAATAAAAAACAATATTAACTTGTTGTTTTTGGAGCTAGATGTGTGTGTTCCTTACCTGTGTTCTCTCCACTGAAGCTGTGTGTTTGTCGCACATGGGACTGATCTCCATGCCCCTCTCCCTCTCTCTGTCTCCCTGGTGGAAGAACTCATCCATGATCCTGTCTGTCCACTGCCGGTACAGATCCAGAGGCTTGGTTGGGTTGCTCAGGTCCGCACAGTGAACCATGTTACGCAAAACCTGCAGAAAAAAATAAATAAATTAAACATCTTGCATCTCTTTTGTGTATACCAGACTGTCTTATCATGTGTGTGCACAAGCGTGCCTCTTACCTGCATCCTGTCTGTGTAGTTATCCAACAGCAGGACTCCAGAGCTGGTCACTTTCTTAGTTTCCACCATTGTCTTCAGATTAGCCAGCAGGCTCATGTGTTTGGACATGTCAGTTGCCAATACCTGGAAGAGAGAAATGAATGATGTAAGAAATGATTTAGGAAAGAGGCAATAAAGTAGTCAAGACATCACTCTGAAAGCTAAAACTGGCCAGTAGCTTCACACAGACATGCAGACATTTCCTCACCATGTCTATGACCATCCTCCGGAGTGTCTGCCTCTGCTTCTTGGTGAGGTTTTGGAAGATGTCGCAGTTGTCTTCCTGCAGCAGTTTGAAGCCCACGGCCAGGTGGTGGTTCTCCAGCACTGACTCATCGTTGTACATCAGAGCCAGCTCTGAGTCTATAAAGGCAGAAGGGGGGAGGGAGGGAAAAATGACAGGAAGGAAGAAATTAAATGCAATGTGTCTAAAAACCCATGTTGTTGCCTTTGGAGACAGATTCGAGTAAACCATGCAAATACTTCTGCCTATTTTGTAAATGTAGACTAAACAAATCAGTGTTATGAAAGTGTGTTGATTGTTTTTGTCGGGCGACAAGTTCCAGTAAAAGAGGACTTACTGGTGTTGATGAGGAACTGGTTGGATACCCCTGGGTGGTCCACGTCGTGAATGGCTGCAGCGAAAATGGCTGCCAAGATCTCCAGATCAGTAAAGACCGCCTGCGTTTGAAGAGAAGGAAGAAAAATAAAAAGAGGTGAGCTTCATAGTCAATAAACTGGCCAAACAAGGTAAGGTATTAGACAATAGTGTGTGGACAATCCTTCCATGTGTCATCCTCTCCGGCATGTAGTTTCGGAAGCATGCCAGTATTGCTGACAGTAATGCCAGTCACCTCATTAAATCATAATACACAACTTGAGAAAAAGGTGTGGGTGATGGTGCCACACTTAAAAGGTGTCAGATAAGTAACCAGAACTTAATTCGACAATGAATAAAAGCAAACAATATCTAAGACGTAGTTATTTCAGACTGTGCTTTGTAGGTAAAAGTATCGGAAAAAGTGACGTACATCGAGTGCGGGCGTGGAGAGGAGGATATGCGTGGACTGGGCTACATCAGCAGCGTGTAGGCTGTTGTGGTAGGCCACGTCGGAGTGATAGTGGCCCTCCAGGGTCAGCATGAACGTCACAAAGGTGTCCGTTGGAATCTTGAACGTCCTCATCAGGTCTCGCTCCTGTGTGCGACACACAGAAAGATGATTAGAAAAACAAGACCTTTAACAGCGAGAAGTGACAACTTACTAAAGAAAAGTTACAGCACGTTCGTTGTACTTTAAAGCATCTCTTTACAGCAGACATACTCGACAGTAGACTGCTGAGCTGACCTTTAATTTTATTTTGAACATTCTGTAAACTGTGAATCATATACTACAGAAAAGGGTGGAAATTAATACAATTTGCTCTCCTGCCAGGATGATTCACAGCTAGAAATCAATTTCAGCTGCTAATGTCCCTCTAGCAGATGTCACTGACAGCTGAACGTAACAGAACATACTGTACACACCGACGTGGGCTGTGCCTCATGCCTTCTATAGCCGTGAGTATGTATGAACGTTTTTTAAATGAGCTCTGATAAAAAAGATAAAAAAGGATTAGGAGGCATGGCTGACCTGAAAGATGGTGTACATGATGCACGTGAGCGGTCGGTTATGAGAGTGCTCTGCCACTCTGAAGATATTCAGGCCCCATTTGTTGATATCCTCCAAGTCCTGTTAGAGAGACAGACAAGAGGACTGTAAGTGTCTCAGCTAATCACACAATTGTGTTGTGTTTTTTTTTTTGTGTTTT